CTGTCACACCACTTGTTGCTTATATTAAGATGAGAAGAATACGTGTCTGGCTCTTCCGGATGATAACGTCCCAAGCACAAGGATCCTTTTGACTCATCAGTATGAACTTGAACGCCTGGTATTATGCCAGGTGCTCAGTAAGTGTTTGTGGAACAGAAGATCCAGATGTGCAGTCCTATCCCCTTGGCCAGGCACTTAACCTTTAACCTCTGTTTCTCAGGTTTTTTATATGTGAAGTTAAGAGTTGGCTATGTTAATTCTGAAATCTGAAGGAGGGGGGGGGTCTTACTCCAATAGCCCTTCCAAAATCCGTGTCTTCCTTTCTTTCTACAGCAAACCTAAGGTCATTTTTAGCTTTAAAATCCAAGGATTTTGAAATATAATGTAATACTATTGTTAATAAGGGTGGCAGGATCAGATTAATGGCACACATTGTAGAGTTTGTTGAAAAAACAGTGTTACAGGTTATGAGATTCATAAGAATTGGTTTTATTTGCTCAGCAGGACATCCGAATCTGTAGGATGATGGAGTGCCTTTTAAAAGAGTTTTAGGGGGAATTCCCTGGCGGTCCAGTGGTAAGTACTCGGCACTTTTACTGCCGAGGGCCGGGTTCCATCCCTGGTCGGGGAACTAAGATCCCACAAGCCGCACAGCGTGGCCAAAGGGAAAAATAATAAATAAAAAAGCTTAGTAAAAGTAAGAGTTTTAGGAATCGAACGAGTCTAGCTGTGATTTTGCCGAGTTAGGACTGTAGTAGCTCCTAACATTTCTTCTTGTTTAGCGAAGGATCAGAGAGGAGGTGGAGCATGGGGTGGGGCATGAGGGCAATACTTGGGCTTAGTCTTGAGTGTAAGTGTTGGGTGGGAAAGACTGATAAAACGTGCAAGAGTGACGGAGCGTGGCAGGGGATCCGTGAATAGGCCTTGATTGATGGCGGAGGCCGAGTGTGTCCTGGGAGAAGTAGCCAAGCCGGAGCTTTCAAAGGCAGCTTGGAGTTGACAGTTGGGGAACTTCTGTATCATAGTTTGGAGTTCAGATTTTATTCCAGGGAGATAGAAAAGCATAGAGAGCTTTAACCAGGGGCAGAGGAGGGCCAAAAATGACCCATTTACTTTTTGTGGAAAGTTCATTTTGACAGTGAAATAGAGAATGGATTGAAGGCTAGAGGCCGAAAGTTGATTCCTTCTTTCTTTCCATCCGTTCAACTCCCCATCAATCCTGTTCCTCTATCCTCCTGTCTCGTCACCCAGCAAACAGACATTACTGAGCGCTTGGTTCTGGGAACAAGCTCTATAATCAGATAGGCCTACGTTTGATTAGGCCTCTCCAGCCACTTACCCATGTGTGTGACTCTGGGCAAACTACTTAATCTGTCAGTCGTTCAATTTAGCACCTGAAAAACAGGACTGGTAATAATCCATTAATACTTCACAGGTTGGTTGGGAAGATTAAATGAGAGACTGCCTTAATAAATGCTTGCCACTGTGCCAGGAATTCATAAGCACGGCTAAACTTTTAGCTATTTGTATTAATATTAGCAGGTTGGAGGTGCAGATTTGGGAGCTGTCGTGATCCTGGGGGTTGTTAAAGCCGTGGGTGTGCACTAGAATGAGACTCGCTTCAGGCGTTAGCTGAGCTCATACTACTTACAGAGCGTCCCGTTGAGCAGGGAGGAGGCTCAGAGGCGTGCACCCAGGAGTGTGAAGGTCTTCACTTTAACACCAGTGAGGTGTTAAACACCAAAGTGTTAAATGCTTTGGTCAGTTCAGTGGTGGAGATTTACAGAAGCTTTTTGGAGAAGGTGGGGTTTGAAATGGGTCTTAAAGGATGAACAGGACTCCACTGGGTACATATGAAGGGAGAGAGCGCTTCACGCACAAGTGGTGAGCCGTTGGGGAGGTAGGGGGCAGGGGAAGAAGAATGTGTATTAAGAAAACCAGGGGAAGATAAGTAGGGCGAGAAGATGGGCACCCTATGAGCGAGTACAAGGAGAAAGTATTGAGATCTAGGGAAGCGTCAAATTATTTTCAGTAGAGAGCTTTGAATTCTATTCTGAGGATTTTGGACTTTAATAGGAATGCTAGTAGGGGGCAGAAAGATAGTATCAGGCTTTTATTTAGAAAGATTCAAGGACAAAGGTGTGAATGGGCACGAAAGAGGAAAGGAGAGGAGAAAACTACTTAGAAGGTTATTAGAAAAGTCTAGGCCGGAGGCGTTTAGAGCTTGAACTCGAGCCCTGGGGGTGGAAGGGAAGGATGGGTTATGGGAGCTTTAGGGAAATGGAATTGATGGGATTCAGTGGCTCACTTTTTGTGGGGTGAGATGCAAGAGATGGGTTTGCAGCTTGAGAGACTAGGAAATGAGGATGCCATGGAGATTGGGCAGTAGTGGGAGGCGGCTTGGGAGGAAAGACGGCAAACTCAGTTTGGAGCATCTGAGGTGCTCGTGAGACATGTTTGGAGGAAATATCACGGTGGCAACGGGTTGCTGGGCTGAAGCTAACAGGACCAGAAGCAGGTAGAGGAGTCCTCTGCTTCCAGGCATAGTTGAAGTCATGGAAAACAGGAAATGGCTCAGGTGGTGAAGGGCCCACCTTTGGGGAAGGACTAAATTTCAGATGGAGGTACAAGGGAGGAGCCAGCTACTGAGACAGCAAGAGGAATAGGAGAGAGAGGTGTGCGTCATCAGGGAGAAGGGGAGAGATTTTCAAGAGCAACACAAATCTACAGCCTTATAAGCACAGAGAGGAAAATGGCACGTGATAGTATAAGTTGTCTGTTGACTGAGGTGTTGAAAGCAGAGTTTTTGGTACCTGTCGGGTGGCACATGGAGGGTCAGCTGATGTGGGGTCACTAGGCGAGGAGAACATCTCCTAGACACGTCGACCACGAGCGCCGGAGATTCATGCGGTTTTGGGTAGTTGGGGTGAGTTTCCTCCCGGTTGGGATTTTTTGCCTACCCTTTGCTCGAATCTTTCCTCAACAGGCAGTTTTCTCAGGGATTCAGAGTTTGAGGAGGGATAAAGGGAGCTCCTTTCTATTCCTGGGTCTGGAATCACCATGTGAGGATGTCCCTTATCTCGGGAAAAGACAGGAGCCCAGCTGTGCGTTCGCGTGTCCGAGACAGGCGTGCACTTGGTGTCATCCACACCCTTGCTCTCGCTTCTCTGAGCAAACTAGTTGAGGTGAGGGGCAGAGGTCCTGGCTGTTCTTCCAGTGAAACAGTGCCAGGAGACGGTTTCAGCCCTGGAGTGTTTGGCCGTGGGTTGCGATTGGCCCGAGAGAGGGGGCGGGGCTGCCCCCAGAGAGGCGAGCGCCTGATTCTGCTCCTCGGACCGTCCCGAGGCCCCCAGCCCCCACTCCCGGACGGGGCCCAGGAGCCACTTGCTGCTCTTCTAAGGCCCAGCTCTTCCAACCGAGGGAGAAGAACGTAATTTCCTTTGTCCGGGGTTTGGCTGGAGACGGTAGTGGACGAGTTCAGAAGTCGGAGAGGATGAGGGTGTTGGCGGTGGGGTGAGAACTTGAAGAGCCGCTTTCTAAATCACAGTTGTTGTTGGTATTATAACTGAGTTTCCACATTCAAATTCTGTTTGGGGATAAAGCAAAACATTCGGCCTTAGTGTCCCCATACGCCCTCTGGTCACATTTGGCTTCCTTTACTCTGGTCTCCTTTTGTTTCTTCTCTCCATCAGTTTCCTTCCAAAAGTCAGAGGCCTGCCCTCGCTCCACTGCTGCCCTCCTCCCGCACTTGCTGGTTTGGGCCTTTGGGCTTCCTTCCTTTTCTCTCCGCCAAGGATCCCCAGGTGGAAGGTTCTGCTGAAGGGGGCGTGGTTTTCATTGCAGATGGGGCCAGTGGGACATCTGAGGTTGCAGCTGGATCTTCATGCAAATGGCAGTGTTCCCCACCCTGCACTCCACTGGCTGAGGGAAGGTGGGGATGCAGCTTCCCAGGGTGCTTCCTGGGGCCCTGACAGCCTCGCATCCATCCGGCTGTGCCCAGAGCCCCGAGCCTGCCCTGACTGCCCTGTGCCAGGCCTTGGGCTTTTCACCCCCTCCCCTCGTGCTGCTTTGGCTTTCCAGTCTCACGTGGGCTTTCCTTCCCGTTTCCCGTCTCTTTCCTCCATAACCTTTCCTTCCCCCGTCTCTTTCCTTCCTCCATTCTCTCAGAGCAAAGCAAACACCTGTTAGAACTTAACTGCACTTAATTTTCCTCTCCTCTTCCTTTCTTCATCTCCTCTAGTCCATTAAGAACACAAGCTAAATATTTACACAGTTTTATAAGCCTTGAGGTGAGGGGATTTGGTACGGTGAGATGTACAAGGTACCTTTTGCAAGTGAATTCTAAGCCCTCTGTGATCAGAGGACACTTGATTCTCTTTGCCATGCACTGGTCTTCATTTTAAAGATAGGAATTATGGCACTTGTCATTACTACCTTGGTGGAATGATTTAAGGACCCAGTGAAATAATATGTTGTGAATGCTTTGGAAAGTGGGATTATTTTTGTTATTTTTATGGGCAAATATCTCCAAAACCAAATGTAGAAGCTGGATTTTGCAGCATGTATAAAATGAGCTGATAGTACTGATCTCACCTCTGATGAGCCTTTCAGATCTTAAATTCCGTGTTCCCTAGACAGTTCTTGGCATATAATGGGGGAGGGGCGGGGGTGTCCTGACAGTATCTGGTGGATGGATGGACAGACAGATGGTCGGATGGATGGCTGGGTGAAAGAATCTCTCCATGTCTAATTGCCCTACTTACCCCTTCCTATTGCTATTTCCATTTCACGTGGACACCACCGCCCCCTCCTGGCCAGCAGCAGTATTATGGTGCAGCAAGTCCATAGCTGGGCCCTTTGCTCCCTATTTCTCCCCAGCCCCGAACCCTGGCTCCCTGAGCTGGCTCGTTGGGACCCGTCTTTGGCCTTCAGTCACTGACTGCTTGTTTCTCCTCCCCCTCCCTCTCCACCCCGCCCCCTCTCTCTGTCTGCCCCTGCAGCACTGCCAGTAACTCCAACCGCAGCACGCCGGCCTGCTCCCCCATCCTCCGGAAGCGGTCTCGCTCGCCACCCCCTCAGAACCCGGACGGAGACAGCATGGTGGAGAAGGGCTCAGACCACTCCTCGGACAAGTCCCCGTCCACGCCGGAGCAGGGCGTGCAGCGCAGCTGCCCCTCGCAGTCCGGCCGCAGCGGTGGCAAGAACTCCAAGGTGAGCCAGACCCCGCCGGGGACTCTGTCCTTGCCCATTGGCTGGCTGCAGGGAAGCTGGCATTGGGGGGACAGTGAGGCAGAGAACCCCGTCATCCAGGGACCTGACGTGAGTGACCGGCCCCTAGTGTCCCAGAGATAGCCTTGATTCAGTGAGGTGAGGCGGGGCCGGCAGGGGAGAGAGACCCTAGCTAAATTTTACCATCTCAGCTAAGTACTCCGAGAGGGCCCCGGGAGCTGGAAAAATGACTCCGCAATGACCGTTATCTCTCTTTAGGGGCTAGGGAGCCTCACGGGCCTTGAGACTTGGAGGAGAGGTGCTCTGGGGGTCAGGAGGGGTCATCTGTTTAGCCCTGCTACCTTTTCCAAATTTGGGGTAGAAGGGAAAATTATTTGGGACAACTGTAGTGCCAGGAAGGGAGTCCTCAGGGAAGGTTGCGGAATGCCGTTTTAACCTCCGCCCTGGCCACCACCCTGCCTGACCTTTGGTAATAACCTACTTGGTACTCATCTGGCCAAGAGGACGGTGACAGGGCTCTCCATCCCTCCCAAGTGTGTCAGAGTTGCCACCTGAGCCCCGGGCCTTTGCCTAAGGAGGGGCATAAAATAAGCCCTGGGTACCTGGCTACTTATGGTTCCCAGAGACTTTCTTCTCCCCCACCCCCTTAGTCCTTTGGGAAGCAGGATATGTCTTTGCCTAGATGCTCCTTTAAAAGCTTCTCTTACCTGCTGGACTCACAGGCCCTGGGAAGGGGAGGGGACCCCGGGAGGCTCGGGAGCTGGCTTCCCACCTGAATTTGTCGTTTGATTTCTTGTTCTTCCTCTTCTTCCCCCCCCCCCATCTCCCAAATACCTTCTTTGCATGCATGGTCTTAGTCTCACAAGCGCCTCTCAAAAGTAAGCCATCTTTTGTCTCTGTCTTTGGTCTCCCCTCCGGTGTTGGATTGTCTGTAGTGCTCCGCACCCCTCCCTCTTCCTCGCCCATCTTGGCCCATGCGTCTCGCTTGGCCCCTTTCCCAGAAGGGCCGGCCCCACTGCCCCTGGCAGGCTGGCTGAGGTCACTGAGCGGACCATTCCCACTGCACCCGGAGTCGGAGACCAGACCCGCCCCCCACCCCCGTGTCTCTGCCTGCGCCCCAAACACTGCCTCGGCTGGGCGTCTGTTCCCTACTTTCCTGGTGCCATCTAGAAGCAGAGTCCTGCCAGGGCTTAGTTTCATTCCTTTGGGGAAGGGAGCCCCCCCGCCCCCCCCCACCCCGTGATCTGGTGGGGCTGCAGGTCCTGATACCCCCTTGTACCTGCTCTGGTGGGCGATTCCTGATTCCCCAGGCCAGCTGATTGAGGGTCACGAATTCCCTTACACGAGTTCCCTGGTGCAGTAGAGCGACCCCAGGAGCTCGCCCTGGCCCGCTCCTTCCCTCCGCTTGCCCGCTGAGAGCTGCTCAGCCTGAGCGCCCCTTAATGCTTCCACCCACCATCCAGCCTGGGGCTCGTGGTGTTCTTAGGATCCTGGCTGGTGATCAGAGGAGAAGTCTTCTCTCACAGGGCGTGGCACCAGCCCCGGGAGGTCGTGGACGTTGAGAGTTGTCCCTGCTCAGGCCCTGCACAGATGCAACCAGGTCAGGGAGCCCGTGCCAGAGTCTGCCCAGGACCCCAGGATTTCAGAGGCCTGAGGAGAACTTGGAGGGAATGGAGGGTGAATAATAGGTGTTTTACAACAGTAGCGGGGCTCAGGAAATGATACCCACGGGGAAGGGGGTGGCTACAGCCTGAAGAAGAGAGAGCTGGGGGGGGTGACTTAATCATAGTCTCAAGCCTCTGTAAGGGTTTTGGGGAGGAGCAGGGTTCAACAGCTGTTCTGGTTACTGAGGGATGAGCGAGTGGCTACAGGGCTAATCCTACAGTCTGTGACCTTCAGGCTAAAAACTCATCTTAGCTCTGAGGATTTTAAACCACCAGCTGCTGGCTGTGGGCAGGGCAGGAGGAGCTCTGCCTGCCCCGAGGAGGCCCCCAGGAGTCCCCTGTGGGTTCGGGGGGCTCGGCAGGTGCAGGCCTTTTGGGGACGGGGTTTGGAGATGACCTCCGTCAGCCCCTCCTGAGCCCCTCATGCCTCTGGCTGGGGAGAGGGCAGATGCGGCGGGACAGGGCATCCAGTTATTCCATGTCTCTGCCTCTGCCCACAGTGTTTACGCACTTTTCCATCCTAAGGTCAAGCTCTAAGCTTCCTTACCCTCTTACCCCTGTGCCTAGCAAGGCCCTCAGTGAGCAGAGCAATACTTATCTATGGTCTACAGCACGGAATTCAGCACTTAACGGAGCGCCTCTTTTGGTCAGGTGATGGGTTGAGGGGAGTAGCCAATGGTGAGGATTTTTTAAAAACCCTAAATGGTAGGTCTTCCGTAAGAAAGGAGTATGAAGACCAGGTTCCCACCCCCAGGCAGCGTCTAGCCTGGGAAGGGAGATAAGAAACACAGATTATCCTGATTATTTGTGTCCAGATTATCCACAAACCTAACCTGACCTTCAGAACCACATGAGCAGTTGGGATGCTCCATGAAGTCGGAGGCAGGAGAGCTCACGTCGGAGGCGGGGAGCGGGTGCACGGAACCAGGCTGGAACTCCCAGTGGGATTGTGGAGGGGCAGAACGAGGCATCAGGAAGAGACCAAGAGCTGAGCGTGAGCCCAGAGTGCACCTCAACCCCTTTGCTAAGGAGCTGAAGAGGGAGGTGACTGGTGGGGTCCAGGTTTTCTTTCCCCACGAAGAGCTTGGGTGAGGCGGTGCCTGAACCCATCAGCCACAGACTGAGGTCCCATCCTCTCCCCAGCCGTGACCATCGTCACCGACCGACAGCATAGCAGTTAACAAGGACTGACTTGTGGCGGGGAGGGCGGCCTGCCACCCCAGGCGGACGTGGGGGCAGCCGTGGTTGGTATGGGAAGTGTGCGTGCGGGACAGAGAAGACACACGAGGACCAGTGTAGGAATTAGGCTCTGCGCGGTCAGGGGCCGGAGCAGGGAGCGAGGGAGAGCTGCAGGGGTGAGGTGAGCAGAGGGAGGGGAGTCTTGTGGTGGGGATACCCCTCGCCCGGTGGAGCCTTTTCTCAGGTTGACCGAATGCAACCACAGCGAGGGGTCTGGTGGTCAGAGCTACTGCCACTGTTCTCACAGCCAGGCCACCTTGCTCCCTGCATCCTGTGCGCTAGAGGAGGTGACCTCATATTTTTCAGGCCGGCTGGAGAGTGCCGCCACTTCTCCCTGAAGCCAGGCCTCGCTCACAGTGTCTGCCTGCCCTTCTCTCGCGCCCCCATTTCCTCGTGTGTTAGTACACTGGGGTTGGACGAGGTAGCTGGTGAGGCCCTGCTCCTGTGACTCTGCAGCTGTCCTGCTGAGGCGGGCCCTGCCCCGGCCAGCCCTGCCGAGAGCCCTGGGCTAGACGTCAAGGCCCAGGTCTATTCCAGGACCCCTTAGTTTGTGCCACCGCCCAGCTTTCGCTCTGTAGTGCTGGCTTGTGGCCGCCAGGGGGAGCCCGCAGCCGTTTCCTGCTCCGCCAGCTCTGGAACCGGGCGCTGCGGTGCCGGGAGCCCAGGCAGGTCCTTGCTTGGCCCCCGCGTTGTGCCTCCCCGCGCTGGGTGTACGGTGTCGTGGGCTCTGTGGCTCTGGCACGCCTTTTCCCCTTTGACTCTCTCCCTGTTGTTCAATCCTAATTTTTGTGGTTTTCTTTCCAGTATGACAGACTTAACCTGATCAAAGTAAGAAATTGTTCTTTCCCCCCAACTCCTCTAACTAGCGCTCCTCCGTCCCTCCTCTGCCCACACCCCATCTTCCAGAGTCCCGGGCCTTTGCACTGGGGGGATGTGTAAGGAACTTGTCTGTTTCCAGGGGCCTTGGAGTCCCATAGGTGCTTGCTCCTCAGACCTCGGCGAGGAGTTTAGAAACCTGCTCAGCTCAGCCCTGTCCCAGCAGCTCTGCCTTTGGGCGGTTTTCCTGACTCCGTCCTCCCGCTTTGCCCAAATCCACTTATCACCTGTCAGAAAGCCCTGGCCCCACTCCCTCGTTCTGTTCTTCCCTTGCCTCTGGCCCTCTCTGCACAGGAGGACATTTTCGAGAACCCACCAGGACAGAGACTTCACGAGTGCCACTGGACACCCCTCTCACCCTCCGGGGCCACCGCTCCCTGGCCTCCCTGCCCCGTGAGCTGGCCCCTTCCGGTCCAGCAGCTCCTCCAGGACTCAGTCCTGGAAAGCGGAGCCACGGAGATCAAACTGAGTTCAGGGAGACTCACACCCACATGGCTGTTCCCAGGGGCTGCCGTGGATTTGGCCGGAGGGCTGGACACCCTCAGTGGTGATGGGTAACAGGCTGCCCACAGAGCGCTGGATCGGGGCAGAGTCTCAGGCTGAGGGACAGAAGTCCTCGCTCTGTGTGTCTGACATTGCAGTACTTGTGAACACGTATTTACACAAGCAAGTAACACACACAAAGGTATCACACAGCTAGTCAGAGGTGGGCCCAGGTTCCCTGGTGCAGGCTCTTTGTCACTCTGAAGCTCTTTTTCCGAACAGATTCAGAAGGGCCGTGCATCTGTGCGGCAGTGCACGAAACTCTCCTTCTTCCATTCACTCGAGTTAGGAGGGGGAGCCTAAGTAAAGGATCAAATTCCTGCTGCCCCCTTTCCTCCGAGGGTCTCACGTGGAGGCCAGGACGGTGAGGTGAGCAGCTGGGGGCGGGTACAGAGAGTTTTCTCAGCCGTGAAGCAGGTGTCTGATGACCTGGCTTTGGTTTGATGAAACGCAGGCGAACTGCGGGTGCTTGAGGCCGGCAGCTCCTAGAGCGTGCTTTTCCACTATTGAGAGAGGTGTTTTCATGGATACCTGTACAGCCTCGTGCCCTATGATCTCAGAATGAGGACCCAAGAATTAAGATGTTCTAAGGCGCAGGGTAGAGTCCGCTGCAGCCTCCTTGCCCCATCCACGCTCCTCCAGAATGACTAGAGGCTAACTTTCAGTCCACGATTCCCATTCTCCCTCGGTGGTGGGATAGTTGGCTTTGAATATTTGGATTTGGGCCCTTACCTGCTAGGCCCTCTGGATTGGAGGAGAAGATGAGGCTGTGGTGGGAATATGTGACTTCCGGATGGGGCCGTGGTGACAGCCTCTGTTGGGAAGCGACCAAGGAGAGCATCTTGCAGAGGAGGATGGAGCGCCTGCCTTGCCACCTGCCCCCTGGCCAGTGAGATAGGGTGTGAGGTTGAAACAAAGCCACTCAGAGGCAGCACCACCCACGCCTGTCCTTCGTCTGCTGACACGCTTCCTCTTCAGAGTGAAGGTGAAGGTCTCTACAGAGTTCTTCCGGATGGGAGAGCCAGCGAGGGGGGCGATCGCACGCCCAGGCCTTCGCCACTGCAGTCACCCTCACCCTCTCCAGACACCGCACAGCAGACCTCCTGAGCCCACGCCTGCCTTCTTCCCTTAGGAGTAGGGACCCTGTAAGACCAGGTGGGCGGGATAAAGGTTGCTAAGTGTGCCCACGATCCACACCTCTGCGTATGCAGCCATAGCTCGGAGAGCCTGCCGTTGGGTTCCAGGCCACCACAGTGAAGCAAACGTTACAATAAAGCAAGTCACGTGGATATTTTGATTTTCCAGAACACGTGAAAGTTATGTTTACACTGTGCTGTAGTCTGTCAAGTATACAATAGCATTATGTCTAAAAAAAGCAGTGTACACTTAAATTATCATTAAAAATACAATTTTAAATTAACTGAAAAATAATGGATGCTCTTGGGAAAATGGTGTCAATAGACTTGCTTGACACCCTATCGCCACAAACCTTCGGTTTGTAAAAAATGCAATGTCTATGAAGCGTAGTAAAACGAGGTGTGCCTATAGTTAAGATGTGGACCAGTAGGCAAAGCTTCCTTCTACCCAGTGATTCTCCTCCTGAATTATACACCCTTGGCAAGCATTTTAAAACTGAAAATACGCCAGCCCCAGTCTACCCAATCTAAACCTGTTGGGTCAGCCCCTGAAGAGATGGGGCAGGGGTGTGCGTGAGCGAGTGTGTGTGTGTGTCTGTCTGTCTGTCTCTATCTGCTTGTCTTTCTGTCTGTCTTCCAAGTGGGATGTGTATGTATAAAGGACTCCTGGCCAGTGAGATGGGAGATAGACTAGGCCATCCCTCCTCTTAGCCATCCCTCCTCTTTCCCTAAAAATCTTTGTTACCTTTGCTCAGGGCTGGGAATGGAGAGCACCTGAATTCTGGAGTCGGGACGGACCAGGGTTTGTTGGTATTGAATTTTAACCCCATGAAGTCGGGAAGGACCTTTAGCAATTATGTGCTTCAGCCTTCCCCCCAACACACAGCCCCCAACCACTCCTTGGCCACTGTCACTTACATGATCAGCCAGTTGGGCAGAAGGAGGAATTTACTGAGTTGGAGGGAAGTTTCTAGGCAGTCCCTTGACTCCCCGACACCAGAGGGTCCCACCCTGCCTTGCAGGGGGGCCGACTTGGGTGGACGGCTGTGTTGGTCTCCATGGGTACTTTGCTTCTGATCAGGGCCCATTGGGGACTGGGTCTCGGATGCCTGCAGTGCATCCCTCGCCCCCATCAGAAGAACCTTGTGATGGGGCCTGCTCCCTTCCGGCCGAGCTCTAGCTGGTGCTGCACTGCCTGCCATCCCAGCCGCGGGGGCTTCCAGCATGGACCGCTCCCTGGGCCTCCTTTCGGGAGCTGTCTTGAGAAAGGAGGACCCCCACCCCGAGCAACAACACGGGGAGCCTTCAGCTGCCTTGGGGTTCCTCCTCCCCGCCCGCCCTCCGCTGTCTGTGTAACCTTCCCTCTGGAGCCAGGAATGCGCTGGCCGTTCCCACTGTGTCTCGCTGACTAACGTTGCTTCTCTTACTTTGTTTTTTCAGAAAAGCCAGAGCTGGTATAACGTAAGTATCCCTTTTCTCTGCTTGTTGGCTTCGTGCAAGGCGGGTGGGGGGTGGCCGTGCTCGGGGGATGGAGGCATGGGGGGCGCAGCGTGGCTTCCCTGTGGGCTCGGGCAAACTTAGGGGCCTAGCAAGGTGGGCTTTTCCCCTGACCAGACCCCCTCCCTCAAAAACCAGACACCATGGTTCTCTTCTGTAGCAGGACAGGACTGCTGGTGAGGGAGGGTTCGATTCCCGGAGACCAAGCAGGGATGGGCTGCCTCGTCCCCCCGCTAGAATCCCCGACAAGGGCCCTCCAGCCCTGACGGAGGAGACCGGGCTGGGGAGGCATTCCAAGGCCAGACAGAACTCTGGGACGGGACAGTCCTGGGGCCTAAACTTAGGGCCGAGGTTTCCTCCCCTTAACCGAGACATTTTGGGGGAAAAGCAGTCAGACAAGTTGCCCGTTTGTAGGGAGGCTGTGTCTCATGTAACGGAATGTGACTTCTGCCCCTGGGTCCTCTCGGTAGCCCCACGGGCACACTCCTCCCAGAACACATCCCCGGCTCTGGGGTCGTCCCTGCGGTGTCCAGCCAGGCGCTCCTACGCGGAAGCCGATCGTGGAGTAAGCGGTCCCTGCAGAGGCCACATCCTCTGGGTCACAGAGCCGGGGCCACAGGGTTTTGAACTTTTCCCGTGAAGAGCAGCTGGCTGAAGTCTCAGCGGCCTGCCTGGTCGTGCGCCGACCCCTGCGGCTGCCCACGGCCCGGTCTCAGGTCACTGTCTTTCATCCCTGAGCTTGCTGTTGCCCGTGCTTGACCCTGATGGTCACGTGGACGCATCCTCCCCGCTCCCCTAACACCAGGCCCTGCTGCAGCAGGTCGCGTGGAGTTGGAGAAGGTGCCGGAGCGGGCGCCTGGGAGACGGGCGTTGAGGATGCTCTGGCGAGGGGGAGCGGCAGGAGGAGGGGGGAGGGGCTTGGGTTTAACGCAGGGACTTGGGCCGGAATCGCTGTGTGGAGGGTGCTTTCCCACAGGGCTCAGCGGTTCCCCACAGTCACGCTCATGTCCGTCAGCCCCGTGGCTTCCCACCTCCTGCTGCTCAGGGGACCAAGCAGAGGTAGGGTTGATGGATCCCAGCCTTAGCCTCACCCAGCACAGGCAAAGCAGAGGTTGGTGGGCTGTGCTGGCAGGAGGGGAGTTGAGGGCTTAGGTGGCCTGTGGGTGGGAGAAGCCGGACTTCAGCCCCTCAGCCCCCCTCGGACCCACAGTGGCCTTTACCTGGGCTTGTGGCCTCCCCGTGGCTTAGAGCTGACATCCTGGAGGGGAGAGGAGCTCCTGTGTGGGAGGACGTAGAGGGGATGGAGAATGCTTTCCTGGGAGTGGGTGGGGCCTCCAGCATCCTTTCTATCACGAAATCTTCCACCCTCCCGAGGGGTACTGTAAAATCAGTGCCTCAAAGGGGAACAGGGAACACGTGGCTGCAGACCCAGGGGACAATTAAATCGACCAGATTTGGACGGGCAGATCCTCAGCCTTGCTGCCCGTCTCCACCCTCTCCCTCTTATCTACTCCTTTCTCTCCTTTCCTCTTTCCAGCAAGCTTTTCTGTTCCGTCTCACGTTTCCTTCCCTTGAATCCTTGCCTACCCTTTCCTTGCTGACTCCCCCGTTTTCTTTTCTCCACCTCCGTTTCCTGCTCTCCTTTCTAACTTTCCTTCTCCGGGCTGGCTTTCTCTCCCTCTCTGGTTCTAGCAGGTTTACTGCCCCCCGCCCCCACCCCACTTTTCCCCTCCTTTCACTCCTAGTTTCTCCCTCAGCCCCACAGAGGAGAACTGGCGTCTGAGCCCTCAGCAGAGCAGCAGGCTAGAAACAGATGCTGCCGCTTGGCTGGACGGTGGTGGTAGGCCAGCTGCCACATGGGGCCAGAGGCCAGGCGTTCTGATGGCAGATAAGTGACAGACAGAGGGGCCCGGCATGGCCGAGCGTTGCTTCCTGGTGGATTCCACCTGCAGCGGAGACGTGCTGGAACAGCCCGCCCTCACTCGCTCCGTAAATCTCCTTATACAGTCCTCCTCCAGAACCCACCCGGTTCCCGGGCCTTTCCTGCCCTCACCCTCCATTAATCCTAGGCTGTCTCCCTTCACCCTCCACCCCTCACCCCAGATGGATTCCAGAGACACTGACTCTCCACCCAGCACAAATCATTAACTCACAGAGGCCAAGTGCACAAGGGGCTCTGCTGAGCAGCGTTCAGAGATCCCCTCCCGGCCTCCCGCTCTCACACTGGGGCTTCTTCTGGAAGCTCGGCCATACCAAACATGGGGCCCATCCACAAATGTGTTCCTGCTTTCCTCCTGCTTCCCCTGCTCCCCGATTCAGGGTTGCCAGGCACACGTGGTCCCTTGTGTCTGCCACCCGGCCCCGGGGTGCTGCCTTCTTCCTGGTCCTGCCGGACTTCCACTGTGGACATCCAGACTTGTGGGCGGAACAGGGAGCAGAATGGACCAGCGTGGGGGAGGGAGAGAGAAATGGCGGGTGGGCATTGGGAGGCAGCGGCAGAAGCTGAGCAGATGGGAGGGAAGCTGCGAGGCACAGGGGTCTCCAGCCGGCCTGAGCCACAGATGTCAGGGGCTGTGTCTAGTGCATCTCGGCATTTTTTCTTTATGTGTTTTCACGTCCGGAGGGTCATCAGCTACCACAGTGGGTAGAGCTCTAGAGAGGCCGGCTTCAAGCAACACCGGGACCCCCCCTCTTCCAAGTAAAACCCTGCTCTCGTCCTGAGGCTGATGCCCCAGCTCTGGGCTGGTCCACCCCTGCGTGTCTGTGGAGGAAGCAAGATGCTGTGTGTTCACACAAGTGGCACCCCCATGAATGCCCACTCTGATGGTACCAGTGCACTTCTCCGTGGGCACCGCCTGAGCGTGGCTGTGCTCTTAGGCTGGATGCTCTGGCTCCACTGGGAAGCCAGGTCCTGGGAGTTTCCCTGCCTGAGCTCAGAACCACCTGAGTCCGTGCCCATGGGTGTGTGGTACCCCCGTCCTCTGGGGCCTGCGCTCCTGCGGTATGCTGTGTGTGTGTGTGTGTCAGCGCTCGTGGGCAGAGGCCCCATCAGGAAACTTCAGTTCATCGCCCGCACTCCCTAGCACTGCCCCCCCTAGTCCATTCCTGGTTTCTCAGGAGGCCCTTGCCCTGCCCCTGTTGCTGTGACCTGGTTCTCTGTTTTCCCTTGATCTGCTCGGTCCTCCTACCTCACCACTGCGTTGGCCTAGGGGATTGGACTTTGACCATCAGGAAGGCTACCCCGTGTCTCCTTCTCAGCTCTGCGACAGCCCTCTCTGATCCCTCTCCTGACGCCGCTGGTGGCTCTCCAGCTATGCTGCTGCCTGAGGCTCCATCGCTGGCACTGGACATCCTTCCGATAAGCAAAGGCTCTGTCTCCCCAGCCCTAGGGACAGTTAGAAATGCCTGGCCGGATTCAGGACAGCGAGGGTCAGCACATGCTTGCCGACTGTTGCGAGAACATCTCAGGCCCACTGGAGTGGCCTGGCTCTGATGTGAGAGGAAGCCCCCCAAACCCTGCCCTGTCCCTCCCCAGCCTCCCCCTCCACCTGCCTCTCTTCTGCATTTTACTTTTACCTATTTAGCCAGGGAGGAACTGTCACCATGATGACAAACCATCTTGGCCTTTATAAAGCGTGGGTTCCATGGAGGAAGGTGGCTGGACCCCAGGGACACGTGGAAGGACTGTGGCAAGAGCCTCTGGTCTCCAGCCAGGGATATTCAGGTCAAGAGTGGGGTTTGAAGGCCGGGCCATCTGCCTGAGTCCCTGCCAGGCCTCATCACATCTACTGCCCCTGAACCCCCCTTTGACTACCCCAGTTTTATTAGTCAAGGCCCCCAAGCTTGGGGGATACACAGGTGGAAGGATGAGCAGAAACAGGGGACCAAGGGGAGAGTTAGGGGCCAGAGGGGTGCAATCTGCCCCCCAAAGATGGCCCCACTGGACGCAGTGGGCTCTCGCATCCTGGATGAAGGCAAGTCACAGAAGACTTTTCCCCGGTGCTCCAGGTGGACAAAGGTGCTTCCTCACCTGCCTCACCTCTTTCCTGGAGGGTCAGTCATCTCCGTGGCAACCTAGGGAAAGGAAGGTTTCTGAGGTCAGAGGATGGGAGCCCAGACGCTGGCGGCTGCCCTGAGACTTCAGGGCCCAAGTGGCCTGCTGGTCCCCGTTGGGAATGCTGGCTGTCCAGTGGGGAAGAGGGATGGTGCCGGCCCTGTGGAATGACCAGGCAGGCCTGGCAGACATACTATTGAACAAGAGGACGAAGCTTTGTAGGAATGAAATTCAAATGATGGGGGACAATGAGGAAAGTGGGAGTGAACGCTGAAAGGCATCACTGAGGACACCTTGGCAGCCCGTTTTTGTTTGTTTTCTTTTTTTTTTTTTTCGGGGATGGCCTCTGATTCCTCTGCCTCCGTCCAGCTTCCCTCTGTTATTTACCCATGGACCCCCGTGCCCCCATCTTAACTGTCTCCAGAGCGGCCCCGTATCCAGGTGAGACCACTTCCTGTCCCGCTCCGCTCCGCCTTTCTCTGTTACGCTCTCTCCCACCCACCTCTCTCCTTCCTTTGCTGGGTCACCTCCCCCGTCTCCACTGCCCCTTATCCCACATCTGGCTCCTCCCTACCCAGATCTGGTTGAAAGTCCAGCGTCTCCTTTGAGGGTCTCCATTGGTTTCTTCCTAGGTGAGGCCAATGTGTCACCAAGATCCATCTGTTTTTCTCCTGGACTCCTCCACCCTCTCCCTCCCGCTGCTGTATCCAGGGAGGGGTACCACTTGGTCCCAGCTCCCAGTGTTTGCCGTGGAGTTAATGTTTAGCCTGGGGCCAGTTCCCTCTCCCCAGGCTGGAAGTTGCCCGCTGCCCTTCCTGGTGGGGCGGCGTTGTGAGGGGCGTAGGAGACAAAGGCTGAGAGCACTGAGACTCATCTCCAGG